GATGCTAAATGGAAAGAAAAATATCAGATTATTTTCCAAAAACTGAATAAATGTTTTTTTTTTTTTTTTTTTTTCCAAGAAACTTTAAAATTTTGTATTAATTTTTATAAAGTTCTTGTGGATGTTTTTGTTTCATTGATTTTTATTAAATACATGCATATATACATATCTATGTAAACAAATGTACTCTAATAAACCTAATTTTGTTGAATATGTGTTTTCCCCCCTAATATCTTTTAACATGAAATTCTTTTAACACAAAAAAATATTTCAGTCCTCTCAGTTTCGTCTTAAACGATTTTTACTGTATACTGAACTAAATAAGCTCAATAAATCTCAGGCTATATTAAGTAACAGGAGCATACAGTACAAAGTTCGTAATATGGATTCGTCGGAACTTCGAAAAAAGCTTAATATTTATTTGTTTACTTCATTAAACATTTCTTTCAACGCGTGCATGCATAAAGCATATGCGCAATGTTTACGCTCATGCATAATGTATGCACATTCTCTCTTAATGATGAATACTGAGCAGTGTTGCAGCTTCACCTAAAAACACAGTTGGAGAACTAAAATTGTATTCAAAAAGATGACTAAAAGCGAAAAAGAAAAATATGCTACAAATTTCAAGACAAGGAAAAATATTTACCAAAATTCACATTTAGTATCATCAATATTCAACTCATCAGCAGTCAAGCGAATAAGAATGCTAAAGACTGATACTTCATCTTAGCTTTAAATCCCAACAAATGGGTTTACTGCAAGTGTATTTTAGGTTTCTTCCCTTTGGGTAATATAATTATGAAATAGGTTTCCCTAAAAAGGCCTCTACAAAAGTATCCCTTCCTTTAGGCAGATAGTTCTAGCATGCTTTGTTGTACAAATAAGGAAATCATCACTACAGGACATGAAAATAAAGATTTATTGAAAGAAAAATAATTGCACAACTTTCATCAAAAGAAATACTTCTACTAATGTTTAATGAAAATCTACATAAACATATATTAGAAAGGCCTAAAAGGCATATTAAAAATGATTTTTTAATTTAATATTTCTTCAAAAATATTACGGAATTATAAAAAGTCCCCAAAATTCCACAAATGTAATTTATAATGAATTTTCATAATAAGAGGAGCAGTACTGATCTCATTTATAATTGTGTTCCTGCTCAAAGAATAAAATTCAAAGAAAGAATAATACTGACAGCCATTATTTGTTCATTTTATTCACATTGTAAGGTTTTAATTTAAACTAACCAAACTTCTTTTTATTTTAAGTTACCCTTTCCTGTAAACTCTTGTTTCAACTTCCCTTCAGAATGAGCGCGTGGTTCAGCTTTATGCTAATTTGTGTTGGAGCCAAGTTTTGTATTTAAAGGTTAGTGAGAAACTTCTCAAGTGTGAGAGTGCTTTTAGTCTCAGACCACTTCGGCTCGGTGGACGTTCACCAGATTAGTTAGTATTTAAATTCTTACGCCTTAGCGCTATTACTCTAAATACTTATTGAAGTGATTTAAGTTCGTTAGTACTTAGCTAAGGCTTGCTACGCACCTTAGATAGGCCAATCTCGCATTAAGCTCTGAGAACTGCGACTATCTGAATTTCTACTTAAGCTTTACTTTAAATTGTTTGTATTGTTCAGTTTGATTGTTTGACCCAAGCGGGGTCATTATTTTTCTGTTATCACTCTCGAGCTGGGAGTTGCTGTAAATAGTGATTTAAATAAAAGGGTCTTTTACACCCTTCTTACATTATAGTTCTTCTAGCACTCACAAGAACATAGCTGCATTCAGCTCACTGTTCGAGATCAGGACCTTGATACTGTCACCATTATGTTTGCCAAGAGTATGCATAGAACACTTAGTCCTGACAACATAAGAAAGGTAAAAGCATAGAATCTTCAAAAACTGCAGATTACCCAAAATCATACTAATAGAATGCTAGCTTTCATAAGAAGTTGTTACATTCTTTTGAAATTTTATATCCATTACAGTTTTTATACAGAGGAAAATTGACACTGCAGAATGAAGAAAATGACCACTTTCTGACCTAATAAGCAAACTCTGAATGCAATTCAAACTTAAAAGTTAGGCTATATGATTATGAAAAGTTCTGAAATCAAAAGAAAAAGACATACACATTGTAGCAAGTCAGACAATTAAAAAACAACATACAGCAAGATTACTGTGTCACAAAATTATTGGAAATGATTAATTTAAAATATGAATCAGCAAGAAATCATTTGCAGACAGTTTTCAGAAGTTATCACAACTTTCATAAACTTTGGCAATAATTAACATTTTATTCCTTTTATCATTTGTAAATAAATTTAATTTTGATGGCAAAAGAATTTCTGCTATGAAAATTTCCCCAAATATCAAACACAACTAAATAAAAAACATGAAATAAATATTGTTCACGCAATGAAATTTAAGTTAAAAAACTTTGAAATGTTATAAAAAGCCTTTGAATGCAACACAAAATTAAAAAAAGTGCTTCTGAGTGGTATAAGTTGTTTAATGTAAACAGAAAATGCTCTAAGATTAACTACACTTCATTAACAAACTTTAGACCATTCATTTCAACTAAGAAACAGAACAAATTTTAAACAGAACATTTATTCCCATGTACACCACTTACTTCAACTAATAAACAGCATTACGATCAAGTCAGAAATTTTAAGTTTAGCAACAATTATTTAACAGTTAAGGATATTAAGTTTTTATCCTATCAAGCAATTCTGAATAATCATTCTGGCTCAGTGCAATGCACATTGTTTCAAAACTGATCAATTTTTTTCAGGAAATAACCATCTGCTCAAGTGGCACAAGAGCTGCTTTCTTAAGTTGAATCTTTCTTAGCATTCTTTACTATTTGTGATGAAATAATTCATTAATCAAGTCAACAGCATCTAAAAGATGAAGAAAAGTCAAAAAGAGTACATAAAAACTGATTAAAATATTGAAAATTCATGAAGTTGTCTACCAGCTGGCCAAACTTTTAATGAAGAATATTGCTTGAGTGTTTTACTGTATCTGCATGAAGCTATTCACCAACAATTACCAGAATTATAGTTAGATAACCTATGGATTTTACATTATGACATATACCAACTCATGATGCTTTTGTAAGTTTTTGATTAAAAATTCAATAACTACAGCTATTCACCTGATATAGCACTGTGTGACTTTTTCTTATTTCCACGGTTAAAACTGCACTGCCATTTTAAGTCTACTGATACAAAAAAAAAAAAAAAAAAAAAAAAAAAAAAAATTGCGTGCACTTTCTAAAGGAGTTTTATGAATACCTTTTGAGGATTGAAAAAAGTATCAGCATCAGCATATATGAAGTACAATCAAAGGGCATAGTTTTAAATGGAAGGCAATAAATATATTGACCAATAAACACATTTTTTATGTGATGTTTATTTAATTTATATAACATTTATTTTATGCCTGGAATCTTTATTGTCAATTCTCTTTTTCCGTTTTCCTGCCAGTACACAAATTAGCTCATGTGATTTTAAGTGAGGGTTTGAGATTGTGAAGTCTCAACATGTTCTGCTAGTTGAAGGCTATGTTACTAGTTTTGCTATTCTATATAAGAGTTCTTGTTAATAGTTAAAATCCCACCAGTAAATTCTAAACTGACTCTGTGATTAAATTGCTCTGTGTAGCCTTTAGCTATTTAAATTTAGTTATACATTAGAATTTCTATTTTGAGTTTCTCACTATAAGTGCTGGCAGATTTTGTAAGTCCCAGGAATGCCATATGTTCATCTTTTAGAGAGAGTTTAAAATAAAAAGGTCTTTTACACCCTACTCAAGTTTTTGTACCTTAATATTAGATAAAGTGATATGTTGTTTTACGTCTAACAAAAGATTAGTCGCATTTTACAGTAGCAAAAGACATTAAACCTTATATTTTTTATGGTATATTTTCTGATACTTTGCATCACAGAAGAGGGAACTTTCATTGTATACGAGATGTTTTGCAGACCTTATCCAAACTGTACAAGGAATGATGCTCATGTTGCATTACATTTTAGCCACTTTTCAGTGCTTAATAATTACACTTATTATTTAATACAACAAAATTCTTTGACCACAGAGTAAAACAGAAAATTACATTTATTCGGATTTTTCAATTTTCTTTTTGGCAGGAATATGATGATTAAAGGACCTAAAGTTATAATGATGCATTGAACAATGCACATAAATTCATAAATTTTTATAACACCTTAGATGACTTATGTTTCTATATATATATACAGTAAGGGCCCAACTTAAGTGGTAATAACTATGTGCACAAATTGTTTAGAGTTCTTGCACTACCATATCAGCCCATCAGTAAAAGGTATGTAATAAGATGCCTGTGAATACAAGTCCTGCTGATATCTAGGACACATGCATCTGATATTCTTATCCACAAACGCTTATCGCATACAATGTGCAATATTTTCTAAACAAACTGCACATTCCTCTAATTTTGATGGCACGTTCACCAGAACTTTCACTGACTGAGCGTGTCTGGTCTAAGAATGCACAGAGACTGGCAAAATGACCACAGCAGCCACTACAAATAAACTCTGGCAAAGAGTTGAAGCCTAATTGGACTGAAATATACCAAGTTCCCATCCAGTGGAATCCACTACTTCATGCTGTGTTTAGTGCATAGCAGTAGATATTACCTGCCAATTGTTTCACTGTGTTGCACTGTAACAATACTATTCTCTGCACATTTTGTGCATCAAAATTATCTGAAATTTAGATATCTTAACTCACCATGAGAAGATCTTTTAAGTTCCCTCTTAACCTCTCTTAACTATATTTAAATATCAAACATTATTAATCTTTTCAATAAAAAAGATTGTACATTTGTGAATATTCTGTTAATATAATTCCATTTTTCAATGCCTGCACATACTTTTACTAAGACTTTTCCATGTTCATATAAGTGTAGATAAACTATTTATCCTTAAAAATTAAGAGTAATATATACCAAATTCCATTCTTTTCCTGTCCATTGTTCCTCTCTGTGAGTAAATTCAAAACTGTCTACTGTAAAATCATCCACAAATACTTCTTCATCTCTAAATTGTTCATTCACCAACTGAACTGTCAATTTGTATTCAGAAGCACAGTCAAAACGAGCTGCATACCTAAAAAATAACACAGTTTTGAAAAATTTAAATAATAAAACACACTTGAATACTACAATTCATTCTGAATAATTCTGTATTATTCATGTTAAATACTTGAAGACTAAAATGTCTTCAAGTACAAGTATTTAACATGAAAAAAAAACTAGCGAGGTTTTAAAATTATATTATTGATAAATAATATAATTTTAAAATTATATTATTTCAGTTACATAAGCAATCAGGGTGAAGGATGACTTAAAGTCATAATTTGATGAGAATGATGTGTAGCATGACTCTTGCCATAACTCATTATTGAAAAATTTAATTTACTTCAAAACTGTTTATTCTAATAATTATAAATTTTGAACATTTTTCATTATTAAAATAAAGAACTAGAAAAACGGATTTCAGGATTACAAACATTAAATGGATTTCTCTTTAATATGTCTAGTACATATACAAGTTTCAACCGGATGGCGAATATTGGTTGTATGACTATCGTAATTTCCGGAAGAAAGGCCGCATCAGCGTAAACGCCGCACTCGAGAAAAATGGCGGGGAAAGAATTAAAATTACACAGAAACACCGCAATAGATTAAATTGCGCGTGACATTGTCGTGGGCCATATAGATGCAAAATCTCAACCTATGTCCTGATATATGACATATCAGTTAAGAAAAATGCATGAAATGAAACCATAACTCAAAAATAAATTAAAGGTAAGAATTGTTGAAAATATATTTACATTCACGAATATACTTATATTTACCCACTAAAGAAGTCCATATTTATAATACTCAGACTATATTTTAAAAAATGTTGCAACAACGAAATATTAAATTTGGATGGCAAAAGGAAATTTTAAATTTTACTTACGAAAGGAATTACAGCACACTATACATTACATGAAGCCATCAAAATCTGATTCTTCACTACCCGAATTAAAAAGATTTAGTAAATCCTGATCTAAGTCTTCCAGATCATCACATTTTCATCCTCTTGGTTTACAAGTCTCTTTATCTAAAGGATATAATTTCAGCTTCTTTGAACCCTGCTATTAATTGACGATGTTTTTACCGATTTCCACACACTTCCTACCCACTTTGCAACTTCTTCATAAGATGCTCTACGCATTTTGTACCGCTTTTGGTATTACGTATGCAATCCTTCACTCATCCAACACTCCCACCGCTTCGGACTTCAGCTTTGAAGGATTTATTAACTGACAAATCTAATGGTTGTAAGATTTTTGTCAAACCACCAGGAAATTATTGCTTCGGTCATAGACAATTTTTGACCTCTCTGGTTTTCACTGACTCAAGTAAAATGAGCAATGCATGGAATCCATTATCAACAACCCTTTGGTTGGAAAAAAAATCCATTTACGACACTGCCAAACTTTTTGTTGCCACTCATGCATGATTGTTTCGCACATCCAGCCATTCTCGTTTGCACAAATAATTACATCATTAGGAAAATATCCCTTCGGAATAGTCTTTCGTTTGAAAATGATCATCGACTTTAGCTTGTCACCGTTTGCAGCACAAGCTAACACACATGTAAATGACGTTCTTTCATGCCCCGTCGTAAGCACAGATACAGTTTTTGCACCAGTTTCACCAGCAGTTCTGTTTGCAGGAGAGTCGAAAGCTAACGGCGTTTCGTCCATATTTATTATCTGTGACCGTAGGAGTTTTTTTTGTTTTTTTGTCAATAATAGCTGTCACATATTTTAGAAAAGATGACTTTTTATCCTGCCAGTCCATTGGTAATTGTTGCCCGACTGTTGTTCTAGTATTGCACAGAAATATTTTTTCTTTTCATAAATCTGCTACACCAGCAAGGCCATCCTTTGAAATCATTTATGTTCATTCATTTTGCTATAAATTTTGCTTGTAAGCGAATTTTTTACAGTCGAAAATTGCCATTCCCTTTCCTAGTTTCTTCTTTATCCAGTTTGCAAGGTCATCCTTCAGATTCGTCCACCTTACAGTACCACTTCTTTTGGCTCGTTTTTGTTGTGGCATATTTTTAAGAAGTTCTTTTTCAGTTTTCCAACGTCGAATACACCTCTCGTCCACTTCAAACTCTCGAGCTTCCGCTCGATTTCCAGTGAAATTACATTAAGCTTAAAACCAGCAGTATCGCTTCTGTGCCGTTTAGGTGATATTTTCAAAAATTTTCCGCTCCCTTCTTACTTAAAAACTATCCAACAAGTACTTGTATCCAAACTGATAGGATCTATATCTGGCAGAATGCCAAGAAAAACTGATTCATGCTGAAGGGGAAATACGTCAGAGTTCGTTATTGTGAGGCAGGTGGAGTCGTGTCCGCCTTTGAAAAAATTGCAGAAAAGGCAGGGGTGGGGAAAGGATGGGTCCTGGAAGATTCATCGAATGGTAGAGAAAAGTGACTATTCAAACTGATGACAATGTTGATTTGAAAGGAGGAAGAATGTTATTGTTCTGACATCTCGTTTAGGGTGAATAAGGCATGTAGGTCCGTTCAAGGAAAAGAATGTAAACAAAATAAAGTTCGCAAAAAGCAACTGAGTGGTCTTTTGTGTGGGAATAGCACCAGTCTATGCACAATGACAAGACCATCCAAAAATATGTACAATGACCATCATAGGAAATATTTTATTTTTAGTGCACCTAAACGCCGCATGGGTAGAAACGCTGCACCCGCTGAAAATTTAAGTTTTAAACACGTAAACGCCACGGCATTTCTTCCGAAAATTACGGTATAAGTAATGAATGATTTTTTTTTCCTTGTAAATGATTATAAGAAAGCACAGAAAATTTAAATAAAATAGAATTAAGCACAATATACTACTTATTACATGGCATTTTTCTCTCTTTAATGTACAAATTTTTGTCTCTTGGTACAAAGAATGCTGCTTTATGATTATCCAGAACAGAATGTTATTCCTGATCCTTAAAACAAAGACCCCTTTTTTTTACAGTTGCCTATGACATAAAAAAGTAATGTAATTTAAAAAATAATAATAATTTCAGAAAATTCTTGTTTTAATCATAAAGGAATATATGCATGTATTACCAACAAACAAGTTTAGATTTCTATTGCAGTTATAACTCACAAGCTTACAGCTAGTTAACTATTTTAAAGAATGACATTAATTTTAGTCTCCAAATATTTGTTTCTTTGCATTAATTACAGTTAGTCAGAATGAAAGGTAATCTTTTACAGACTCTTACAAAGAAACCCAAGTTATTTCTAAGACAACAGCAGCAAAATTATGCACTACTGCACTATAAGTTGAATATCACTGATTATTTGTAAATAAGTTAAATAAGTTGTAAATAAGTTTTTAAATAAGTTAAAACATGTTAGCAAAAAAAAAATCCACATTAGTTAATAAAACACATGCAGTATCTTACAATGTAATGCATATGAATAAAATCATTAGTGACTTAATAACCTTAAAAGCACAAAAAATACAATCCGTCATCCTATAAAGGACCATAACAACAAAAGAAAAATGTAAATAAAAAAAATTAAATCAGTACACAAAAGCATGCTATACATACGCACCATTCCCCAACTTGTATTTTTATACAACCAGAATCTAATACTACTGCAGGAATGCCTTTTGCCACAAGGTCAATAATCTGGTGTTTTGAACAAACATAATAAGATGTTGCAAAACAGTATTGAGCACCTAGAAAAAGAACAGATAATCATTTCAATTAAACATTACCACACTAAGAGGATGAATTACACTTAGATATGAAATACTACTAAAATTTTCACATTCAAATTTTTAAATTCTGATTAACAAAAGAAGTATGACACATTTCTAAAAATTACTAAGATGAATTTTCTCCCTCCAATCCTTTAAAATATAAACATAAATTTATGCATAAAATGTTCATGAAATAATTCAGAATTTCTCTTATGCATGCTTCTCATATATATGGCAATACCCAATTGACCTATTCAAGTTGGTTATGAATAATTCTGCCCCTCCAAATCATTATTTAGACAATTATGTAGAGACATCAGAAGTTATGAGAAAGAATTTCATGAAAAATGTATTGTGTCTCAATCAGGAATTGAATATTCAGATTATCAAACAAATATTTTGATTTTTATATCACAATAATATGCAGCAGGGATATTTTTAATTCACAGTAACATAATTACTGGAATGTCGAATGAGAGACATGTCATTATGAACACAATCTGACATCACTAAAGGAATATGATACGAATTAGTTTTATATTCACAAAAGAAATGTATTCTGATGCATTTCCACTTCTTAAATTATTTCATACATTTGATGGAAACTGCTTACAGAGAATCAAGTTTAAAAACTTGCAATACACTTCACATTTTTATCCAATAACTATATTCTGTTACAAAATCCAAACTTTAACAACCTAATTCAGAATGTATCATATAACACTGGGTTTAATTTCTAAAATTAGAAATGTCTATCAAGAATGGTGAACAAAAACAAATAAATAAAAGAATGAACAATTTAAAGTTCAATAAAATGTACAAAGATAAATAAAAATATTTACAAATTAATGATGTTAAGATAAGAATAAAATAAAATTAACCAGATAGCTATATCCCATAACACTTTGATATGCAGATTTTTTGCTTTTTCCTCCACCTCAAAGGATGAAACTTTGATATGCCGATTTTTTTTTCAGATATTTAAGTTTTTTCATGCAGTTTGCTTTTTCCCATGGAAAAGTGAGATATACAATCAGTATCTAATGTTAATATCAGTTTCTTTGAACTCCGAACAATCTGTTGCAATATTAAAAGGATTTTCAGTTAAAGATGTGTTTCAGTTATACAAGAATGTATTGAAGCTCATCTTATTTTAGCTTCAGTATTCTCTGGTTCTGATCTCTATCTCTACCATAAAAAATCTCAAAAAACTATTAATGAGGCAACACACTATGTCTCCATAAACTATTTAGATATTTGCATATTAATGAAACCAGAGTGGCTCAATTTGGCAATTTTTACAGATAAAAAGAAAAAATTTACTTATCAGGTACAAGTTCATAGATTTTGTGAGTCCCTGATATTGATATTTATCATAATTCAGCCGCCATAATGAATATATGAAAAGGAAACACACTTTAGCATAAAACATAAATTTTAATTATGAAATATAGATTATGTTACACATTAAAAAAATAAAATGCTTAAATTCTTTATCAAAACTTTCTGTAATATTTTTGTGCTTTTCTTCTCCCCTGGTACAGAGCAATCTGTTTTTGCTCAAAAATAATCACAGAATGACAGAGACTCAGTATCGCGCAAACCTTAGCAATACTGTCTATCTACCAAATGCATCTTCTTCTTTATCAAATTTGTGGTTAAATTGTGTATTCCTGCAGAAATTTTACTGCAGTTTCTTCCACTGCTCCCAAATTTTGCAAATGCATATTTTAAAATTGAATTTAAGGCCAAAAAATATCCCAATTCGATCATAAAAAACACTGGAACTTAGAATATAACAAAAGAACGCACTCAGACATTGCTTGACCGAAGGACTGCAATGAGCATGGTTGTGAGTAATTATGCATATGTTTGCCACAATTTGGAAAATTCTCAAAATATCGTGATATCTACTAAGGTGGTTGCAGCAACATGTAAGAGCCAATATTTATGTGGCAACTCATGTTGTTATCAAAAAGTATTTATGTTATAAGCCAAGTACACATACAGCACACATCTTTGAAGACACATAGATATGCACTTTTGAAATTCATCAGCCTTTTCTAAATTACTATTTCTTTTTGTAATGAATATGTTTGTTTGTTTTTTCATAATGAACTGTAATAAGATTCTTGACTTTACTAACTGATGAACAAGAACTCGTTGCATTTCTTCAGAAATATGGCATTTTACCTAAAAATAGAGATCGCAAAAATCTGTATTATTTGAAGTTGTACTTCTTAAGTAAGTGAAACCCACTTTTCAGTGAAAATGTGGATATCAGAAAGCATAAAAAATTACTATAAGCTGCAGAAACAAAATTATAATACTATAAATCTAAGATTTTACATGCCTATGTTTGCACATAAATGAAAACAGAAGCAAGTTTATATACGAAAAGATCAGAATACTTAAAACAGTACTGCAGAAAATTAAAAAAACTTATGCAGTTTGTAAAACTTAATGCAAGATTTACCTAACTTGGAAAAATTTAAGATAAATTCAAAATTTTTAGCACAAAAATAAAAGGAAAGTTTAATTAAGGCCTCATGCATTATGCTTTTTGCAATATGTCATAGCAAAAAAATAAAAAACTCACAATAACAATAAAAATTTAAATAGATTTTAATTATGTTCAAAAACTACAAAAGGATTCACGGAAGATTTCTAAAGCAAGTCGAAAAGTCTCCATACTGACTCCTAGTAATCAAAGGCATAACCATTCAGACTAAAAATTCTTCCCATACCAAAGCATAAATTTGTTGTATATTTTATATATACATTATTTTTAAAAGACAATAATTTTCTGACGATAATTTGATGATGCAGCAGCCAAATTGTGCTAGCATACTAATAATGGCAACTATACTAAACAATGTAACTCATCATCTTTTGAAATAGACACTTTTTAGTTTGACTATTTTCTTTTTTATACCCAATTCCAAATATTACACAAAATTTTTTATTTACAAATATACTTTCCATAAAACAAATATTGTGTTTGGTATTCAATTAATAATTTTAAAAAAATCCTTTAGACATTGCTGTGTGAGTCATTTCAAAGCTGATATAATTTGATAATCACAAGGTGATAAAAGGGGAAAATAATAACAAATTATTCTTCAGGTTGGTGTCAGGGATAAAAATTATTCAGTAAGTGCAAAGTCAGTGATGAACTTTGATAGTGTTTCAGTCTGAGATGTATGGCTACTAAAACGGCAGCTACAGAGACAAATTATTGAATAATATAATTTATAAATAAATTACTCTGTTTCTTCAACATGGTGGTGGTTGATGTAGCATCAAAGTGGAATTACAAATCTGGACCCTCCATATGTTTTATAGTAAAAAAATATTAACTGCACATGCAAGAAGCGTTAAATACATAGAGATGATGATGATATTCTTGGAAGCTAATTCTTTCTTCCTTTTTGCAAAAAAATTTCTGAAAGGAAAAAAAAGAAAGGTTTCAGATTATAACAGACGCTCAAATGAGTTTGTTAAGGATTTTAATACTTTCACTGAGCTCGCAGTATACCAGTCTGTTGTTGTACTCACTCCTGCTAACCCCCCTTTTCTGGCCTTTTAGCTTCATTAATTAAAAAGAAGCAGAGCAGCATATGTTTAGAATTTTCAATGCAGTGTTAAGTGTTGGCATTTATTTTTCTATTTTTTTCAGTTCATCATATCAATGTCCAGTATCCTTAATAAGAAAGCTTACAAAAAAAAAAAAAAATTTTTTTTTTTTTTTTTTTTTTTTTTTTTTTTTTGTCTTTTTCATTATTAGCATTTAACAGCAAAAGCACAAAATATTTAAAAACAGCATATCTTCATAATTTCCGATAAGAGTCTTGCGAGCTGGAGATAAAAATGTTTTACTCTGTACAGTGTTGCCACTGCTCGCTTTCAAATCATTTTGTTAACCAAAAATTCATTAGTTTTATAAAATACGAAATAGATAATAAAAACAAAATTCGTGCTTCCAAACACATGTTTGGGTGAAGGACAATGTTATTCAAAACTTGATGGCTCTAGGTACTGTCAATTGTTCACAATGTGAGAAAGATACATACATTCATGCAGATTCTTCATTATTTAATTTCCTTAAAAATAACTACAGTACGAAAATATTTAGTGGCAACAATTTCAAAAGTGATTCGTTGTTTATAGTAAACTGTTACAAAACCTTATTTTGAGACTAATAGCCCTTTTTGGGGTAAAAAAAAAATTGCTGGTGGCCCAGAGCTTCATGTATCAGATCATTTCAAATACTGGATGTCCAGATCTCAGATTTTCTGAGTTTTTTTGCCACCACTACAAATGTCCTTAAAGCAACAAGTATTTCACAATTTTTAAAACTTGTGTTAATGCTGTAAATAAAAATATTAAACCTCTAACTGGACAAGTTATTTCCTACTTAACTAACTAAATAAATAATAATGGAAATTTAAGAGACACATACCAATTTCTGTAGGAACCGCATCTGCTCCAACTGGAGGGTTTTCAACAATAAAACCATCTCCGCCATTACTAGCTACAACCCAGTTCCTCAAACCATCTGCGTAGGAAGATACATTATGTAAAAAAAATAAATGTGATGATTTCTGGCCAATGAAATTCAAGTTTGGAAAAATAAAGTGAATGCTTATACACCAAAATTATTGCACTTCTTAGCATATATATATATCATACATAATTCTTTCATACATGTGGTTAGGTAGCTTTTGTGGAGGAGGAAACCAATTCACTCTTTAGTGATGGTCTAAAAAACTGATACATAGATGACTGCAGTAAAAATCACATGTGGATAGATCATTAAAACATATTTTTTATTTTAAACAGGAAAAATTCTTTAGAAATGCATTTCTGTTTACATGTGTCCCATAATTTCGATATACAAATTTTACATTTGAGATAATAGAAAAAAGCAAAGAGACATGACTTTCCTAGGCATAGCAAGCAGGCAAAAGTTATATGTAATAACTGCAGTTGTATTTATAGCTTAAAAAGTCTTTGTTTTAATCCTGCGCAGCAAGTGGGCTGAAGAAGCTGCATTGCAAGGAAAGGTTTTGGTTTGGTTTATTAGATTACGGCAAAGCACTCGAGGGCTATCTGCCTTAAGGGAGGGATGCCTTTGGACTTTTTAAGGAAAAAAAGGGAAGGGATGTTTTAAGGGAAACTGGCTTGTATACACGTTACACATGGGGAATACCACGAAAATACCCATGCATCCAGCCCGTTCACGGGATTCGAACCTCAGACCGAACTACCAGTGTTCAGCGACCATTGCAGGGAAAGAGCGAATAACATGCTGCAGAGTGATGCAAAATGGTGCAAAGAGAGGGACAGGGCTTGTCTTGCATTAGACAGGGATAGGGCTATTAACAAAAAAGCTCTAACTTCACATATGGATTATAACTTCATAAATTTTTAACTTTGACGAATGATATTCTGTTCACTAAAGATTATACTTTATTCCTCAAATTCTAAAATTAATTTACAGCTTTCATGGTGAAAGAATTGTACAGTCAAAAGTCGTTAATTCGGGCACCCATAATCCGGACCTCAAAGCTAAAAACTTTCTGCGCATGCACCGCGTTGACACATGCGTATAGGTGTGCACGTTTTATGTATAACGGATGGTATAAGCTAAAATTATCTAATTATCTATTTCAGTTAATGTTGATGATTGCGTTGTTCCTTAATCTTCGCGTTGGATCCGGCTTATTATTTTTTTGCAGACTGTAAGAGTAATTTTATAAAAGTAAACTTGAACTTTCGATTATGTCAAATAGAATTTCCGATGCTGGAGCTCCCAAAGGATCTACAAAACGAAAGTATGTTTCGATGTCCATCAAACAAAAAGTGGAATTCTGCAAAAAATGCATTAGACATAAAAGACATGAAGAAGGTGACAGAGAGGTTAATGAAAACGAAAAAATTTCGATTGACAGGTTAGTCGGTATTCTTGACACAGCAATTATATGACTTGAACAGCAGAACTTTGTAACTAAACAAGAAATTATGTCTGTTTAATAGAATTAAAGAGAAAGTATTATCACATGAAACAAAGGAACTTAAACAACTTACATTAAAAAGAAATGTTTAATAAAGTAAACAAATAAATATTAAGCTTTTTCTTTTTGTAAATTTTGATACCCTTTAGATCATAAATGTTCTTTATTTCATAAATTACGGTTTCATATTATTAATTTTGTAATTTCTGCATGCCATCTTACGAGATTTAAACTGATGATCTATAATCCGGAAAAATTGATAATCCGGAATCGCCGAAGTCCCGACGAGTCCGGATTAACGACTTTTGACTGTAGTACTTTTTATGAATGATTAATTTGAAGACCTTTTCATTCCCCCCCTAGAAATAGAATACTACTATTAATAATCCTTACTGAATGTATGTTAAATTTAATTAGACTAGGTTCTTCATGTCTCTCACTTTGTAAAATGCTTATATTTTGCCCCAGTTTGATAGAAACTCTGGAGAAATTTTAATTAATGTTATAGAACAGAGTTGGCCAAACTTCATGTCAGTAAGAGCCGCACGTTTGAATTCAGGAATGTTCGAGAGCCACATGTAGATTTTCTAAAAGGCCACAAGTTCATATTTACATCATTATACAAGTAGTGAAGGAGGTTTTAAATAGAAATAAATCCCTGATAACTTTGTAAAAAGAGTCTAAACTAATTAATTACTTCCTTTTGGACACTGAATAGTTTTAGTTCACAATATTTCATACATATATTTTATATGGATGAGCCGCACAAAATGCCTGCGAGAGCCGTATCAGGCTCGCGAGCTGCACTTTGGCCACCCCTGTTACAGAAAATTTTGTGCTTCAGACAGTAAATTTTCTTTACTGTCATAATGAGTTTTTCTTGTTTATGAATCAAATGTCAGCTTTGATTTTAATATTTTTATTGTTTTCTGTTAAAAACTTCCATATCTTTATTATTTTAGTAGGACTGAATTATGTTTCAAATTGATTTGACAAGACTTAAAATAGAATTCAGATTTAAATTCATGTAAGTATTCTGAACACCTGGTTACTCTGAACTCTCTTCACACTGTTCATAATAAAATATAAAGAGCTGATGCAGTGAAAAAAATATATTCAAACTAATTCAATATATCTTTAATTTTGTCCTGCTTGAACTGCTTTAACTTTTAATGAAAAAAAAAATGCAGTAAATAACAGATAAATAAATAAAAATAAAAATAATGTAGATCTTTTGTGTTTTAAACATACATGTGCCAAACGCTTTTCCCACAAAAGATACGTATGCAGACATTGGGCTGTTGGCCATGGTTAAATTATGTATTACTCTATAGAGGACTTTCTAAGAGTTATTTTTTTATTATCTACAACATTATTTTTTTGTTTTTCAAAATTAAGTTTTCAAAGTAAATCATTCTATTCCATTCAATAATTTAAGAGAAGTTTTTCTTATATTTAGAAAAATTTTATTACAGTTATAATGAGCTCATATTTTCTCGCTGTTAAGCTGCAGCATTTTTTAAAAAATTGTTTTGCATGTGTTATCTTTTACTGGAAAAGATCCCCTATTTTTCATTTTCATTTACTGAACTTATTATTTACTTATAAGAGTCTAATACATTTGTTGCAAAACTACCAGTTTAATATCAGAATACCTAATGTACGCTTACTGTATTTAAAAAATATCATTACCTATTGTAAAACTTAAATCCATTTTCTCTTGCAGTAACTGTTTCTCAATTTAATATCTATTTTTCAACGCTTAAAGACTTGTAGTGAAAGAAACAAGTTCAATTAAATAACAAAAATTTTAATTTTATATAAAAATTTAATAAAAAATGCAACAGTAATTACATGAATAATCCTCAAACAATCTTAACAGTATTGTTTTATATTATTACACACAGGAGTGAGCTATAGGAGGGTATAGTAACTCCTTTGCTAATTTGTATTCAGTTCGCAAGCTTTGTTCTTTCCCATCAGCGGCTGAGTGGCAAAAATTCGCCGAACACTGGCAGTTCAGTCCTGAGTTTGAATCCCAGCAACAGGCTGACTGCATGGAGATTTTTGTGGTTTTCCCCTTTTTTTTTCTTAGAAAGTGCTCTATGAAGCTATCCCTCCCCCTTTAGGCAGATAGCCCACAAGTTCTTTGCCATAATTAAATAACTCAAACGAAGCCCCTTGTTCTCTTTGTTTGTAGCTAGAAAGTATTGCTGCTGAATGTATACACATGTCTACATAATTAATAGTTTGAACCCACATGGATCTCGTGAAAACTATGTAATTGCAATTTGTTCTGAACTTTAATTCAAAGAAAACGGGAAGTTGCAATCAAACTCCAATTTTTTTTTACATTTACTTTGGCACTCCCTAGCTCGTTTTCATTCAATGTTACAATTAGAAGATTAAATAGGAAACATTAATGAAATAAATCATTTTGGATCATTCATCATCCTGCAAATCAGCAATTTATTTATGTGATCAGGTCACATACGTTCATATTATTCATAACTTATTTAATACACTGAATTTATCTCACAAAAAAAAAAAAAAAAAAAAAAAAAAAAAGTTTTCATTACACTCATCTGTTGTTTTTACATTTTCACTCAACCATGCAAGTCATATTAACTATAAATAGCACTGTGTGCATTACCATTTATTATAAAAACCTACTTCAAATAGAAAAGAAGGGGGGAATGAGTTTATCTTTTTTTTCTGTAAATGAAATAAATATGCAACTATTCTATCATTCTTGTATAATTTCATACATTTATTTAAGTTTAAAAATCTAACAACTGGCTGCTTTCATTCAGGAAATGCAAATGCACATTAAATTCACATAAGTTAGGTGCAATCTACAACTAATTTCCAATTTACTACTTTTTTTACAAACATACAGTAAGTATCCTCTTATTTAATAACAAGCTAGACGTTCTGAAAAATTATATAAATTTGTCTGATTGTGATCAGGCATGATACATATGTTGCTTCTCTTTAAGCTCTAAATACACTTGGATTCTTTATTCCCAAGTTTTAATTCTTCATCCTTTCAGTTGTATTACCACTGTTGCATCCAGGGATGAAAGAGGTTCCATTATATCCCTCATTCATAATGACAATTGATATCAAATCAATATTTCCACTTTTACTGACTATGTAAAGTACTATGCTAAAGTGAAAGAGTAATGACTGCAATGCCCTATATCAATAATGCGACAGACAGTGGACCATTTGGGGGAAAAGTGGTAATATGAGTTTCACCTTCTTCTTATACTCTGTGGTTTAATAAGTCTGTTTCACATTTTATATATATTTATATATATATATAATAATGTTAGCTTGATTTCAATTATTAGAAATACATGAAGTTTATGAAACAAAAAGACTAATTACTTTTATTGTAAAAAAACTATATATATTACATAAATACATATTCTACATTTCAGCTGTATACAAGGTGTGACACACACACACACACACAAAACGAGGCATCCAATAAATCATTCTACTCACACAATCAGTTCTCCGTGACATTATCACC